GAACGCATTTCAATCTTACTCTTCACTCCAAACACTACAGGATTATACAGTAGTAGTGTATTGATTATGTGCTTCAGTGTCTGATAGTGTCTGACCAGAGCTGCACCACATTCCCAGACAATTGTAATTATAGGAATACAACTCATATTTTGTAGGTTTTAGTAATAAATGCTCTCAAACTGATATGAGAGCCGCAAAAGCTTTATTTAATGCCTTAAAATAGTGAAACACTAAAAGTTTAGAGAAAAGAGTTAACACTTTTGTCTATTTCTTTTGTTTTTAATAAGTTATAAATTTTGTGAGCTTACGATTTATGGTCACTTTCTCATTCGCTTATGAATTCATCCGAAAGCACTGAATCTTAGACTAACTGCTGAACTGGTAGTCAGTCCTGGATGTATGCAATCCCTGCAAACACTTGTACGTAGGCTCAAGTTTTAATGTTTAGAAAAAAGTCAAAAACTAATGTAATATAAGAAAAAGTTTGAGAATTTAGACGTTTTTACAATCGAAATATAAATCAGGCGGTGCTCAGAGAACAGGGCCCATAAGAATATGGCAGTCATTACTGGCAGATATTTAAGTTATGAAAAACGATTGAGAGATGCATTTTTGTGTTCGCATCGCTTTTTATTAGTATTGCAAAACAAAAAGTCCATTCAATGAAGTGATGGGCGTGAGAGGTAATCCTGACAGTTAAATTATTATGATTATCATACCTGTGCAACTGTACAATTGCTATGAGAATTGTTTGGCCACTTCTATGCCTATTCACTGCAAACAACAGTTTTGCTCGTTTTTATCTAAGTTAGACACCGATCAGTTAAATTCAATTAATTTCGTTTATGTTTATTATATCTCTGAATATCTATAGCATTGCATAAAATTCTGTTTATTTTCAATCCCTTAAATGATTTGCTCAATACAGACGGCTATTACTATTTAATAGCATTGAGTTCTTTGAGCCAAACTTATGTTCATAAATGTTTGAAAAACTATTTGTTTATTATCTATGCTTTAGGGAAAATAGAAATTTTTTCCAAACAAATAACCAAAATTATAATTATATTTTATTTATATTTATTTTCCAATCTTTCAATTTGCAGTTAGTATTGAAGTCAATGTTTTTTGTATAGAATATTAAACTTTTTTCGCAGTCAATCGATTGTGCAAAATGTGAAATCGCATTAACACTCAAAATATGTTGTTTTGAGACGTTTTTGTCCCGAAAATTGCTTTCTCACGTCCCACTATAGGTAGTGGTTTTGCAAATTTTAGTCGTTTTTGTTAAGTTTAAGTAAAAATGGTAAAAAAGCCACATAAGAGACAGTGAATCTAATGGAGGCAATAGTAACGTGTAATTTGCTTCTTCATCTCCATCACTATTTTGGGTAAAAAATAATATTCATATATAAGTTGAAGTCCTTTAGGGCATTAAATGCCTCTATTCTTGTGCGGTGTTCTTCGGGTGACTTTTTTGTATTCCCTGAAAAAAGCTTTGATTTGATTGCCGCCCAATTGTTGCCCCATTGGCGAGATTTACACATTTAATGCTGAGTGTGATTGCCTGCCCCTCCTTTATGTGAATATAGATTCGTATCGAGTATTTGAAAGCAAGTATTCAGTTTATATTCAGTTTACACCACTTCCACATTTACGGCAACTTTATACCAGTCGAGTATATACTTTATAACTTTATACTCATACAAAGCCCACCACTTGTCTCATTCATGCCATCATCGCTTCAAATACCCATTTAATGCATATTTTTATACAATTCTTCTTATTTCTACTCATTTAGTGATACTATGAAAGGATGTGTTGTCTGTAATGTGCACCTCATGTGATATCGCGACCACATTTTGAAATGAATCCATCGGTCAACTCCTGTAAACTATGAATGAGGCAATTCAGGGCAACCACACGAATACCAGTCCCCACACGTCCAGTGCCTTCAATATGCGTGTCATCAATGATGAGGATTCAGAGCAACACTTATATATCGCAGAAACTGGATCTACTAATGGCAGTAATTCTCTTGTGCTGACCAGTGATATACTTAACCAAAAAAATGTCAAAATATGTCCACAAGTGCCTCATCAGCAACACATGCCATCACAAGATGCTGAAGATGTAGATCAGGACGAGGATGACGAAGACGACGACAATGACAGTGAATGCAACCATAAAAATAGTGCTAAAAGAGTAGATATTTTGCAATTAAGTGCCTCTAAATTGAGTACAAGTAGTGGCGCACGAAATAAGCGGAAAAACTTTCAGCCGAGAAGTATATTCATCGTTGAAGACAACGAAGAAGAGAATCACTTCGAGAACAATAGTAACGACGAGACACACGAAGACAATGAAGAACACAGTGATAACGAAAGCGTGGATCTAATGAATGGCAAATCGGGTTCAGAGTCATACTCTTCATCTGTTTGTGATTCATCAGAAGTACGGCTACCGATGTCTAGTCATCCGTCGATTGTGACGTCCATCACATCCATTACAGGCATCAGACGGTGTGCTTCTGTCCAACGCCCTCCTAATCACACGACTCAACATCAGTCACAACCATTGGATTTGAGTCATCAGGAAAACAACGGAACTTCTAATGGACTCATGAGTGCAAGTGATGCCACAACTCATCCATTAATTGATAGGAATGTGAACGACAAGAAGTTGAGTGAAGCCAACAGTTCCGGTGCGATGAACACAACTAATCCAATGGATTTGAGTAGAAAAAGGAGTTGTAGTGAGGATGACATGAATGAAGAGGACGAGGCATCAGCTGATGAGGAGGAGGAGGATGTGGTCGACTTGAGTCGATTCAAACAGATTTTAGGTTATTATGGTCTCAAACAACAACTTCCTATGCCTTACAAGAATACAGCCGAAGCTACCGTCACAACAGGTGAGACCTCTTTAAGACCTTTGTATTTGATTACCTTTAATAGGATAGACCTTTAATTGTATTTGCATTGCATTGCATTCATTGTTTGCATCCATTTCGCTGAAGTCAAAACCAATCGTTTATCTCTTGAATCACTTTCTAAGGGATTACAATTCAAACATACTTTAGATTCTGTGTACTAGACGTTGAGTCTACAGTCAAGTCTTAGCACTTGTTGGTCATAGTATTTGTAATGCTTGCAGTCAAACAACATTACCATCAATTGAGTGTCATTTGTTTGATAACATAAACTCTATTCAACTCAATGCCTACAACCACTGAATATGCAATATAATGCATAATCAGATTTGCATTCTGTGGGCATTAAATCTCAATAAGTGATCCTTTTTATTGTTATATGGTCTTGAGTCAACTCGTTTAACCATTCACTTAACTTAATTTAACTATTTTGTCACAATTTGACATTTTAAATATAACTTCTGAAATTTGAGAAAAAGTTCCTAAAAATACAAATCTCTTGTTTCCGACATAATTGATTAGCACGTTGTTTGTAATATTAATTTCAAATAACGTGGGAATAAATCATAATAATAATATTGATTGAAATAAAAACTATAAGAAAAATGCAGAAATAATGATAACTATAAGAGTGGACTATAAATTATAAGGTGAAGCGCCCACGTCTGGGCCCAATCGGCACTTCTGGGGCGACAACACATTGGTATTCAAATAAAGCGATTAAATTTGAGCCCTAAATGCTTATAAGTCTCGTCTTGTTTTACAAAATTTCTCATTTTTTGGCAAATCTCCGGAAATTTTCTCAATTCAAAAAAGCTTTAACTTTAAGATGAATAAAAAGTTTTTTAAAGAAATGACGGCAAATCTGTTGAAACTTTCTGTGAGAAGAATTTTTCATTTAACAACTCCAGTCTTTACTCATGTTTTTAAACACATTTTGTGTATTCATTAAAACGCGAATAAATGTCACGACATTCTCAGATAACTTTGATTTTAGCATTTTTGGGAATTAATTTCAATTTTGTTATTAAAAAATTGATTTTTAAGTATTTATTGTTGTAATCAATCGTTTTTTGATATCAATTTTGTCTTTAAGAGTTTGGGAATTTTTAAAAAACTTAACTTAAAGTTATAAATAATTACAAAAAGACTTGAAATATTTTATGAAAACATACATTTTATTTTAACTATGTTTCCCTTTGATTTTTCACATAAGAAACATCAGATTTTCACGTATTTTTAATATACGACAAATTTGCAATAAAACTAATGATAACATTTAAAGAAATCTATTAGTTGAGAAAAAATGCTTTTTTCAAATTAAAAAACTATAATATAATTGACGATTGAATTACAATTTATGACATTTAATAACAGTAATAAAAGTAAATCTAGAAATTAGTGAGAATTAAGAGATATTTTTGTCGCGATATATAATTTGAAATTCACATCATGTCTAATGATGTATTACCGGAAACACATTAAAGTTTTTTAATTATTTTCTTTGTCTCATAATATTAATTAGTTTTAAAGTAAATTCTAAAATAAATTAGAAAAAAGATTGAAAACCGAAATAGAAATAATAATAATAAAAAATTAATCTTTAGTATGGAATGCGAAGAATAATAATAATGTTTTGGAAAGAAAGAAAAAATAGGGAAAGTTGTGAATTGTGGGGACTGGTAGGGACGGTAGGGACTGTTGCGCCGGCAATAATTGCATCGAAAGATTTTTGTTGATTTCTGACGTGAACGAAATGGATTAGTTTGCCATTTGATAATGTATTAGTGGTATTACGTGCTGCACATCATTCAAGTGTAGCACACATTGCATGATATACAAAGAAATTTATATAAAAAACTATTATATATATTATGTGAATAAAAGACAAAATGATAATCTCTTTCTCTGATAATTGCATTTATATCTCGCAAAAAGAGGGGAAACAAATCATTTGAAAGAAAAGAATCAAAAGTTTAGTAAAAGCTGTCAAAAGAGGGATGACTGAGAAGAACGAGAAAGAGATTTGATTTTAGAGAAAGTATGTAATCATTGAATAGAGAAGTGAATGGAAAGAAGTCAATGCAGACAGACATGCGAACCACAGCATCAACAAGTGCTCGACTCCCAGTGCAGGGCTGCCTGTGCTCACTGTGATGCCTGTGATGCCAGTGCCACTGCCAATGCCAGTGCCAATGGGATGACCTATTATTAACCTTTGTTAATTCTTTTAGTAATTTTAATGCAAGTTATGGCCTCTTGGAAGGGGTGTTAGAGTTGTCGGCGTGGGAAGAGCTGTTGGTTTTCTAGTAGTACACAATTGTACACAATATGCATAACTCCAAGACTTATACCACTCTTTGTTTATGATCTCAACTCCCAGTCAGTGCATTGGCCTCCACTTTACAATATTATTGTTTAATACCCTTATAAAATATATTAACCTCCCAGTCCTCCCAGTAGCACAACTTCTATACTAATTTATGAATACATAAAATAGCATCAAAAATGCTTTGTAATTAAAATCGACTCTTTTTTAATTGTCTAGCAAAATAAAAACTTTTCAAACATTTTATTGTTTGTCGAGAAATGCATTAATCATTTAAGACTTGACTCTGAATCTGGTTGTGTGTGCCGTTTGATGCCTTATTTATGAGACATCAGCTCATAATGTGCTTCAAAGGGCACAACTGTATTGCACTCAACGCTCCATCCGAGGGAACGGAGGAACGGGAGTCGAGTGAACAATGCATTCGCTTTCAAACACTTATGCTATGAATGCCTGAGCACTCGATTGTCTAACTCTGTCTAACTTTCGCTCTCATGTTATCAAAACATGTTATGAATAATCGAAGACAACTCAGAATTGCAATGAATTGAATCCAACGATTAACGATATTCTGTTAGATTTGCATTCATTTGATAATATATTCTCATTGAATGAGATTTCGCAGACAAACGCACACATAGTCTCACACTATCCGACACATGAGAATCACTAAAAACTTCACGCTTTTTCAGCATTTGATGAATTAATTTGTCATATTTTGTGCAAATTTGTCTTCTCTAAGGTATAGCTGGAGGTGCGGTGAGTGAACACAAGTAGTAGAGTTTAAGCGATGGTTGGTTTGGATGCAATATTTCATGTTGACATTGTGTGCCTCACAATCTCCTTATTGCTGTCAATATAATCATTATTCAATTCTATGGCTTACAAATAGTCTCATAGCCCTCATAGCCCGGACACACACACACTGGGCTATGGGTGGAGAAGTACTCCTCACTTCTTGAAATTGATTATATTTATTAGTCATCCATTAATTTGTTCGCAATTTTGTGTGTTTTTCTTATTTAGAAAACTCAATAAAAAATACTTCTCCAGAATTAATGATTTTCTTTATCTCTCAATCACTTGAAGTGAATGCCAACGAAGACTCGAATGAATCGGTAGACTCTAACGGACCCCTAACTAACACCGGGTTAAACACAATTAATTACGGAAATAAAAGCAACACTTCTAACGTGGAAAGTGATGTCAATCTATTGCATTCATTACGAAACAGAGTGTACGACAGTATTCCGTCTAGTCTTCAATCACTCTTCTCATCGCCCCATCATCGGTACTCCAATGAACAGCCGGTGCCACAGGTAATGACTGCCTATCTTAATGACCCTTAAAATTGAATCAAACATAATATGTACTAATCGTGTCATTCATCAGAACGTGTCTTCTTTGCTGTCATTCGCTGCTCTCGGAAATCACATCAAAGGTCTAAATGACAGAAAACAATCCACTCCTCAAACCCATAATTCATGGAAAAAGTCGTCTTCAGCCACAAACTTAGGGCCCGCGCCATGGATTGACAAATCTTTCTTCGCTCCATCCTCTTCTTCGTCCCATTCGGGTATGTCTTCAATATTCAAAGTGTCATAAAATCATATTTAGAGGCCTTTCATATGAATTTTGTGACAATTATTTGAATTGAATTTAAGAGGGAATTGAATTAATGCCGCTTTGCTTTGCATAACAGACTATTGTTATGCCGACTAATATTTTGTGTAATAATAACATACGGAATGGAGTAAAGATCTATTTGACTAAAGAGTGTGAGAGACAGACAGTATGAGAGAGAGAGAGAGAGAGAGAGAGAGGGAGGGAGAGAGAGAGGAATGGTTTGAAAGTATGGATTCAATGATTCGATGGTGTCTTGAAAGCGCTGGTAATCGCTTTTGGGGTGAATTTCTAATATTTGCATTCAAGGACGAGCTCCACCACTATGTCTATGCCCTATCTATTAGGACATTGTATTTATGATGAGGGGTTGGGGGATAAGACTTTCCCTTACAAAAGAAACTTTTAAATGACATTTCATTTCACAAAATGATGGATAAGATTCCGCTCTTAAAAACTTATATAAAACAAGTTTAAGAAAAATATTTCTTTCGTTTTTTAAGTTTAAAAACGGGATTATATTTATAGCTTTATTCATAAGTATTATGTGATATAAACAGTGAAAGCAAGTAAAGGACCCTTTCGTCTGATTTCAGTTTCCCATACCTGCTGTTCACACAAATAGATTGTTTCCCTTATGTAATGGTGTAGTAAAGCCATAGACATAAAAAGCCATAGCCATAGACAGTGATGTTTTGGGTGATTAATTAGAATATGTTTATTATATTTATTACATTTTGCAATCAGAGACATCACTATCACTGATGCCAATGATGGCCTAACGTAGACCCCATACCACACCTGTTTCCGTATTTACATAAACTCATAGTGAATAGTGATTTCCCACACTCGACAGCCAATCGATGCAATAATTTTTGGTGTTTTTTCAACTTTTTCTAAACGCTTTATTATTGTATTTATCGTTGAATTTTAGTTTCATTTGTCAAAAGATTAATTGTATTTCTCTCTCAATTTGGATCTCATTTTTCATTTTGCTGTCAAACTCTAAACTTGAACTCAATGTGAGAGAAGAATAATAGGAATCTTTTGCTAAAATAAGAGAAAAATATGTTTTAAATGAATTACACAAAGAATGCTTTACTGTATACTATACTATACAGTGTATAGTGTAGAGAAGAGCCTCTTTTATAAATGATATGAAAAAACAATACGATTTCTATAAAATCTTTGTCTGCACTTTAGGAACATTGCCATCAAAAGTTGATGCATTGGCCAAAAGCACCGGACCTGTTGACTATACCCGATATGTTAAGAGGTATTCACACAAAGCCTATTCAATGCAAGAAAAAATACATAAATTCTTTATTTGTTGTTAATTGAAATTCTTTCACATTTATATGGTTTTGAAATTCTTTTAATAGAAATTTCAATTTAATGTTTTGAAATGATTTAGATTTGTGAACGCATCGGATTGTGGTTTTGGTTATTGCAAAGAACTCAACTATAGGGAGCACTTCCACTGCATGGACTGTAATTCAAGGGTTTTTGTCAAAAAAGAAGAGATGATTCGTCACTTTAAATGGCATAAAAAGCGCGATGAGTCCCTCCAACACGGATTCATGCGATACTCTCCCTGTGATGACTGTTCCGATAAGTTTCCAAACTGTGCTCACAATCGAAAGCAAACTCATTATCATTGTCTCAAACAAGGGTGTGATAAGGTATGTCGGGGTGAACAGGGTCACCAATCCGTTCACACTTTTTAAGTATATATTTACAACTCTTGATATTAATATTATTTATCAATAAATTTGCATATATTTTAGACAAACCGATAGAATAGTATATATTGCAAATAATCTAAGCATTACAAATAATATATTACTAAAATAGTATAGAATTTGAAAAGTTTGATAAATGTTTTTATCTGAAAAGGTATATATCAGTACATCTGATGTTCAAATGCACGCGAATTATCACCGAAAAGATACGGCGATTATTCAGGAAGGCTTCCAAAGGTTTCGCGCCACCGAAGACTGTTTATTAGAGTCGTGCGTTTTCTTTGGTCAGAGAACCACACATTTCCACTGTAGACGAGACAACTGTAACCATACTTTCAAAAACAAAGCAGATATGGGTAGGCATTCACTCATTTAAATTTATATCTTATATCATATTTATATCGACTTGAATTGTTATGAAATACAAAAGGCATGAATGCAATACATATAGTGTTTATAGAATAGTTTAATTGAAAATATATTTTGTTTTGATTAAAAATTCCTCAGAAAAACATAAGTCATATCATATCAAAGATGAACAGTTGAATCGCGACGGCTTTAAGAAGTTTATGAAACATGAGATCTGTTCGTTTGAAAGCTGCCGCTTCTCTCGCGTTTGCAATCATATTCATTGCATACGACCAGGTATTGCATGCTTTCTATATAGGGGTCAACAGGCACTGCATATTAGGACTCAAATTGCTCATACCGTATATAAGATACTTTCTATGAAAGCATTATATGGTCTAAAATTGTGTGCTTGACTGCTGACCCCTATATATTGTATGTTTGTTACATAATAATGATACATTGTGTGTAAACCCATGAAAGGCTGTACATATGTCCTGCACTCGAGCGGTCAGTTATACTCTCATAAAAGAAAACACGAGAGAAGAGAGAATGAGTTGGCGTACAGGAAGTTCCGTTTGGCACAGAATATGATCCGATCTCTTAATAGTGATAATAACACTCACTTAGCCTTTGGTTTTCTTGAGGCAAGTCTTTAACTCTTTTATTCTTATAGATAATTGTCACTCGAGTTTGACAATAAATTTAAGTATAGAATTTATTCTAGAAAAAGTTTTTATATAACTCGAGCTTTTCTCAACATAAAGTTTATGTAATAAATTAACTTTGAAAATGTAATGAAACAATAAAAGGGCACAAATATTGGCTGCGATGACGACAGCAATAGAAGCAGTAATGCTATGAATGAAGCGGAAGCCCTGGCCAGTCAGTTACCACTCACACAAATCGGTGCAATTCCTTTAGAGGACATCATTGGAGAAATACCTGAGAGTAGATGTTTGCAAATGTATACAAAGTAAGATCACTTATAAACCCCGTCATGATATGAATGGTCATAGAATTCAATGAACCCATCGATCCTATAATTGATTTGATTTTAGTTTTAAGAGCGGAGAGCAATGTGTGACAGAAAATTGCAAATTCAAAGGCAATGAACACAATCACTGCAAAGGGTGTGAATTCTGTGCCTCGAATTTGGACCAACTGCTAGAGCACGCAAAGTGAGACACATTTGTCATTCAAAAAGCAATTAAATTAAGTAATTACGAGAAAAGAAATAATAAATATTTGCTATAAATATAGGACTCATATAACCCAAGACGAGGCGACACCTCTTATATTCGAGGAATCAGACGACGGAACCGTTTGCACCAAAGAGTGTGAATACTACCAAAAGGAGCGCCATTATCACTGCCGAATGGTTAGTAACTGTGACTGAGAACTGAGTCAAAGTGTTGGCTAATTATAATTATGCGCTTCGTTGGTGACAGTACGGGTGTTCGTGTGCTGTTCCCATTAGTGACACTTCATTCAAGAAGTTAGACCACTATCTAATGCATGAACAACAGCAGTTGAAGCGGAAGCCCTGGCCAGTCAGTTACCACTCACACAAATCGGTGCAATTCCTTTAGAGGACATCATTGGAGAAATACCTGAGAGTAGATGTTTGCAAATGTATACAAAGTAAGATCACTTATAAGCCCCGTCATGATATGAATGGTCATATAATTCAATGAACCCATCGATCCTATAATTGATTTGATTTTAGTTTTAAGAGCGGAGAGCAATGTGTGACAGAAAATTGCAAATTGAAAGGCAATGAACACAATCACTGCAAAGGGTGTGAATTCTGTGCCTCGAATTTGGACCAACTGCTAGAGCACGCAAAGTGAGACACATTTGTCATTCAAAAAGCAATTAAATGAAGTAATTATGAGAAAATAAATAATAAATATTTGCTATAAATATAGGACTCATATAACCCAAGACGAGGCGACACCTCTTATATTCGAGGAGTCAGACGACGGAACCGTTTGCACCAAAGAGTGTGAATACTACCAAAAGGAGCGCCATTATCACTGCCGAATGGTTAGTAACTGTGACTGAGAACTAAGTCAAAGTGTTGGCTAATTATAATTATGCGCTTCGTTGGTGACAGTACGGGTGTTCGTGTGCTGTTCCCATTAGTGACACTTCATTCAAGAAGTTAGACCACTATCTAATGCATGAACAACAGCAGTCCTATTGTGCAAAACAACGGATTTCGAGTTAATACAAGTGAATCCAATGTATATCCCATCCCATAGTAACCCAAAGATACCGTGCAATGAGTTCTCAGACATTGATTACCAGTTATGGGCTGAAGATGCAAACGATTGCGACGATTATTGCCTCAAAAATCGCATCAATAGTCTACTTTGAGTTCACTAAATGTTGATTTTGTATTTATTGTGTAATATCTATTAGGTTCTGGCAGTGTTTTTTATTATACGATTAATTAAACTAGAAATGTACATAAATATTTATTGAATAAATAATAATTATCATTATATTCATTACCATCTTTATATATTTATTTAAGACATGTTTAGGTAATTGATAAATAATTATAGATCAATGCATTTAATAGTAGTAATATTTCGCAATCGCAATAATCAATACAATATTAAAAATTACTTACAATATTGTTTTAAACAACAAATTATTTCTTTTAAAAGTTTTAATTTATATTCAATGTTCATTACTATGAAAACAGTGTACGTATATTAGTGAACTCAATTTGCACTTAATGGCATCTAATATTTTAACTCGTCTAATAAACACTTAAGAAAACATTTAGATTACTTAAACCATAATTAATCCTTTATATTTGATTATAAACACAAAGATTTTGAGTGCATTTTGTAAGATGTGCAAAGGTATAATAAAAGTGTATTCATTGGTTGTAGATATAACTAACTATATTATGCTTAATTTCTAATATTATTTAATCTAATATTAACATTATATAAAGGCACAGATGATAATAAATTAATCATTATAACATTATTAACTTTTATAATAATTATTTATTATACTACAGTATTACTAAATAACTTTAAAATACAGAATTTGTACAACTAATAATGGGTTAGTTTTAATGCTCTCTCTCTCCCTCTCTCTCCCTCTCTCTCTCTCTCTCTCTCTCTCTCTCTCTCCATCATACGATAAAATGTTTTTAAAATGATTTAATTACTAATTTATTAAATTAACAGTTAAGGCACTAATATATTCAGTGACTCTGTGTCTGAGTATCACTCAAATCCTAAGCGTATGTCCACAACAATCACTACTGAATCCATGCAAATGCGAAAACGATCGCATCTTATGTGATGGCAATGAAGACTTGGATTTAGTGGAACTGTTCGCTCGACTCAACCATAGCCTCGACAACGACTCCAAACACTTCCAGACATTTAATCTGCGAAACAAAGCCATTACTGAACTCAAAGACAACACGTTTCAAGGCATCACTTTCGACAACATTTACATACAATACGCTAATAGCTTGCAATTCATACACCGAAACGCTTTCGACGCAAACTACTTGCTAACTAAGACCCTGCTCATCAGCAATAACCCTGTGCTGAGTAGCCCGGAGCCAATGGTTATATTTGATATATTGAGTCAATTTGTGAACATTGAGTCCATAAACTTTTCCCATAATAACGTAACGGACATACCGTCGGACGCTTTCCGACCAATCAATGGCTACCAAAATAAGTTGACATCACTTTCATTGAGCGGTGATTTCAAGCATTTGGGGGACAATGCCTTTGCGAGCCTTAATTCACTTCAATCCCTGTCCGTCGATCAGTCATCCATAGACTACATCCCGGAAAAAGCGTTTGCATTCAACCAACCGTCCAAACAGAGACTGGATTTGCATTTATTCAACAGTCCGTACATTAATAGCTCGAGTTTTGCGGTCAATTCACTGACAAACATTAAACGGGAGACATATCTGGACCTACAGGTGTTCAAGTGGCCCAACCCTATCACTTATTTGGACGAGAAAGTGTTCGGGGCATTTTTGGACGCACATTATGCCAATCAGGTGAACATTGGGGGCCAGTATGTCAACTGCACGGACTGTCGCACGGCATGGGTTCGCAACATATATAAGAATTATGACCGCATTCTGGGATTCATGTGCACTGGGGGTCAGGCTATTGATGACCCAAACATTTTCAGTAATTGTTAATAAAAAATATTAATAAATAATATTTTCATCATGATTTGAGATTTTTATTTGCTTTTATTAATTAAATTCAATAAAAACAAAGTTCTGTGTATTTGTGTAATATTAGTGGCATAAGTCAATCATGGTAATAAATTAGTTGTACATAGAA